TAGATTAGCCATGAGAAGCGGGTCACTTCTGATTAGAAAGTAAAACTTCTATGCGCTATGTTTAATTAGCTGAAAGACCTGATTTATTGATGTTGGAAGGCTGCCTTCTTTGTTCACAATACTATAAAAAGATTGCTTATACACAATAAAGGACTTTTTTTTTCTGCTGCTGCTTTGCTTGCTCTTCTTCTTCTTTTTCTTTCTTTTCCCATGCTGACCTGCAAGTGAATTACTGCAACACCACAGAAGATATATTAGACTTGCTGTTTATTAAGATGTTAGTAACTTGTAGAAAAGAGTAATAGAGATGTGACTGCATTTGCATTCCAGCCCTGAGGAGTCAGTCATGCTGACTTCATAAATAAAGGCATAAACCTGAGTTGGTGTAGTGGACGGGGCTAAGTAAAAGGATCTTGGGATTTTAAGTTGAAAACTTTCAGACTCTCTTTGATTTGGGGTATTTTTACAGTGCCTAAAATTGAAATTAAAGAAATTAATAAAATAGAATTGAAAGTAACCATGTTTAACAGAATATTAGGGATATAATAACAGTAAACAAAATCTGTTGTATATATTTTGTTTGAATTCTGTTAAATGCACGTACACATATGTGCTTTGGAGCATTGAAATGACTGCAAGGAGCTGATATCCTTAAAGTGAATGTATGTGATGTCTCTGTCCACAGGAAAGGAATTATAAAATATATAACTCACTTTCTAGCTTCCATAAATGAGCTTTCTTTTATCATATGTTTTAGTAGTGTGGGAAGATTTATAAGGAAATGTAGAAACTTGAACTCATTTCTTGTAAAAGCTTCAAAATACTTTACCTATGTAAAGGTTATCATGGTTAGGAACAGTGTTTATGAGAACTCAGAAGTTCTTGTTTTCTTTCCAAAAATAATCTTAAATTGTTTAATCTATTAAGCTAAAACATAATATAAAAACTAATGCTAATTAAGCCATAATATAAATCCTAACGCTAATTAAGCTGATTTTATGAAAAAATGCAGAAATTTAGAAAGAAACAAAAATCACCTCTAAAATCGTTTTGTTGTGTTTTTATTATGTGTACATGTATTTTACTGAATTTATATGTAAATGATAACTCCTTTCATCATTTAAAATTTGGTGAATCTTCTTCCTTGATATGAGGGTATTTTTAATTGTAATGAGAGATATAGAGGGGACCAGAGCACCTCAGTTTGAATCCCTGCCTCCTTTTTATCCTCAGTGGGCCATAGGATATTAAATTAAACCCTTTATACCTCAGTGTGCTCAACTTAATCGTGGTTTTATTTAAGGGCCTGCTCTCTTGATGTCATCGGGTAGATGGAATAAGATAATAAATGTAAGGCATTGAAACCACAGCCTGGTTAAATTTTGCTTAAAATGTGTTTGCTGTTCTATGGAAGAATAAACAATCTTCAAAACATTTAATCTTTATTGTGTTTTTTTTTAAAGTAAACACTTGCACATTTTGTTAATTTTATTTTATCTTCAAATGTTTTATACATTTGTGGTGTCCAATATGATATCTTGATATTTGTATACATTGTGAAATTGCTAAATCAAGCTAATATATGTTTTACCTCACATACTTACATTTTTTTGTTATAAGAACAGTTAAAATATACTTTCCCAGCAATTTTAAACTACACAATATATTACTGTTGTTACTACTACAATCACCATGATGTGCAATAGATTTCTTGAATTTCTCCTTCTTAACTTTAAGCTTTTATTCTTTGTCCAGCATCTCCCTGTTCCTTCACACACCAAATACTCCAAATTCTGGTAACCACCATTTTTGCCTTCCCTTTCTATGTCTGTGTTATATTTTATATGTAAGTGGGTTCACACAGTACTTTTTTTTCGTGCCTAACATTTTACTTAACATTATGACCTCCAAGTTTATCTAGGTTGTTGGAAAGGACAAAATTTCCTTCTTTCCTAGGGTTGAATAATTCTCATTGTTTTTTACATCTGTTTTCCCTGATTTATCCATCCACTGATGAATATATTGTTTCCATATCTGGGATTTTCAAATAATGTTGTAATGAACATAGGAGTGTGGATATCTCTTTGGAATACTGATTTTATGTCCTTTGGATATATCTCCAGTAGGAAATTGCCAGATCATATAGGAATTCTATTTTTTAATTTTTGGAGGAGCTTCCACACTGCTTTCCACAGTAGCTGCACCAATTTACATTTCCATCAGTAATGTGAAAAATTTCCCTTTCTCTACATTCTCACCACCACTTATTATCTTTCATCTTTTTGAAATAGCTATGCTAAGATTGGTGGGAGGTTGTTATGTTTTGGATGTGACGCATCTCCCAAAAACTCATTTATGAGACAAGGCAAAGAAGGTACAGAGGAGAAATGATTGGGTTTTAAGAGTCTTCACCCAATCAGTGAAGATAGATAGGGATTAACTGAGGGGTAACTGAAGTGGTAAGATGTGGCTGAAGGAAGTGGGAATTGGGGCATGACTTTGGGGTATATATTTGGATCTGCCAAGTAGACACCTCTCTCTCTGCTTCCTGATAATCATGTGAACCACTTCCCTGTGCCACACTCTTCCACCATGATCTTCAGCCTCATCTTGTGTCCCGAGAAATGGAACCAGCTGTTTGTGGACTGAGACCTCTGAAACCATGAGCCCTTAAATAAACTTTTTCTCTGTACAATTGTGTTGGTCAGGTCCTTTCATTACAGTAGCAAAAAAATTGACTGAGACAGAGGTGATATCTCATTGGGTTATTTGTATTTTTCAGTGATTTTAACGTTCAACATTTTTTCATGGATCTATTAGCCATTTGTATGTCTTATTTTTATAAGTGTCTCCTCAGTTCCTTTGTTCATGTTTTACTTGGGTTGTTCACTTGATACTGAGTCCTTAGGATATTTTGGATATTAGCTCTTTTTAGATATATGGTTGGCAAATACTTTTATCCAGTCTGTATATAAGTTCATGTTGTTGGCAGAGACAATTTTACTTATTCCTTTTTGATTTCGGTGCATTTTATTTCTTTCTCTTGTCCTGTACTGTGGATAGGACTTCCAGTATTACATTGAATAGAAATCTCAAAACAGGGTATCCCTGTCTTATTCTTCAATGAAAAGGAAACACTTTGATTTTTCCTCATGGATGAGGAGTTAACAATACAAACATCAAGTCTTCCTTCACTGACCTTAGTTAGCATCCTACAGTGATTTATTGGATCTTCATATGCTTTTCTATTTCTTTCTCATTTTCACCCTCTCWCATGCATGTGCACATGAGCAGGTGCCCATGTTTCCTTGAAAGGAATTTA